CCTCCCCAGCCCTCCCCAGCCCGCTGGGACATGGACTTCGTGCTGGCCCCTGCTCTGCTTCCACCTCTCCATGCCACACTGTGGGTGTCACCTGGCTGCAGCCCCAGGCTGCCTCCCTGCCCTAGACGCTTCCCTGCATCCTTCCAAAAGCTTGAGCTCCTGTGCCTGGCTCGCTGTCTCCCTGCATCCACCTCTGCCTGTCGCTCCTGGCCTGGGATGGAGATGGTGCCCAGGGGTTGCTGGATCTGCAACATGCATTTCCCTTTCCAGAAATGTTAACGCTGCTGTTGCGTGTGTGGGGGCGGGATTCAACGGAAATTGTTTCTTCATGGCCAGGTCAAATCCCCTTCCTTCTGCTGCAGCTCTCCCTCCGTATGGCTGAAGCTGTCACCCGGGAAGGACCCGTCCATGAGCAGGGGGCAAGGAAGGATTGAGCAAGAGAGCCCAAAGTGGGACCCTTTCCTCGTGCCTCTTGTGCACATACCCGTGCCCATATCGGGGTGTAGCACGCTGCTCTGGGGGCCTCCAGTTGTCCTCCCATGCGAGAACACCGAGCCCGTGCCTGGACTGTGTGGGCTCTGGGGCAGTGCCATGGTGGCTGTTGCTGGGAAGCAGCAGGGGAAGCGTCAGGGCTGCCATTACTCAGTGGGCCCAGAATAACCAAAAACCCACACCGGATGCGGCAGCCACACTTCCCACCCCGCTCCTTGCCCCCAGTGCTGCCCGCAGGAGGTGGGCGAGGGTGCTGCGCCCACCAGTCCAGTGCCTGCTGGTGGAAACCCTTCTGCAGGAGGGAGCACGTGTTTCATGAGCTTACGCAGACACCAGCTTCCCCCTGGCTATTTGGGTTGCACAAGGCAGCCCGGCATCCCTTCCTGTCCCCACGCAAGAGCACAAGGGCAGGGTGCTCTCTGCCCAGGATGTCACAGGCATGGTTGGCCCAGTGAGGGGACTCAACCCCGATAAAAAACCCCAGAGCCAATTTTAGCAGTGCAGAAAGTGAGTAGCCATGGTGCTCTGGCAGAGGGACAGCCCACGGCTTCAGAGTGGTGACTCAAAGCCACCGATGCCATCACTCCGGCCTTGGGAGAGCGGTGCTATTGCCCAAGAAGAGCAGTGGTGACCCTCTACAGGCACATCTGGAGGTGCTGCGTGCTCAGCCCTGCCCTGGCTGCAGGGACCTCACCTGGGGCACGAGTAGCCGCACCGTCTTCAAGAGATTTGAAACACATTCCCACCACACAGGTACATTTCGCTCCACGTTCCCACCACCTTCTGGGGCCACCTCTCCTCTGGTGCCACCAGGTCCCTCCTTTCTTCCACCCTCTGCCTTTCTCTTCACCGGGAGAGAGGAAAAATTCGGTGTGATGTGGGGCAGGAGGTTATCCTGCAGGTGAGCCTCATGGCCGGAGCGCTGTTTCCCCCCTCTCCCCCTGCCCGAGCCGGGACCGGGACCGGGACC